TATGCATTTCCTTTAACTCTCGACGAAGCTCCTACTGATACTCTCCAATAGGTAAACGGCCGAATCATGATCGACAGAGGTAATTGATAGTGTCGTTGTGACTGTATATATTGCTTAACCTTTGTCAACAGCATCCTTCCGCCGATTAAATCCCAATTATCAATTTCCTTTGGCCTCTAGTACGATGGCAAACGTGGGAGTTCCTTGGATCCCACCTCAATATTCCACCGAATCGCTGCAAGGAGGTGATGGCAGGATGATGCCGCAGCCCCCGCCATTACCCTTGGCGGCCAACTTCCCACCACCACCACCTTTACCACACGTTGTTCCCTGGGCGAGCCCGTATGCCAATGGTGTGTAATAGCTGAGCCCATTATGCGTGAACAGTGCTAATCGTATCTATCTAGGTACTTTGGTACGGTCGACTCCTGCCAACGAAGAGTCGTCCGACGACGATCTTTCTGACGAAGATCTGATCCTATCGTCGACAGTCGTCTACGGTTTCAGTCTTTCCGATAAAACCTGGTGTATGTGATCAGACTGCTCCTCCGTGTTTTATGTTTACTTATGAGTGATTCAGTGGAATTTGATGTCGAGGAAGTTCAACCCGTTGAATGGAACGAGGATGCTTTCGTCAACCTCGTCCTTCCATCCGCTCGCAAGGATCTTCTACGCTCCCTTGTCGAAGCCCATCATCGCGAGCTCGGATTTGATGACTTTATTAAGGGAAAGGGACACGGTCTCGTCATCAACCTATTCGGGCCTCCTGGAGTTGGTACGTCACATATTCTTCGTATCTGGTTCCTGCTGATCATGATTGCATTCTTCAGGCAAGACCTTCTCGGCAGAAGCCACTAGCGAGCACGTCAAGCGTCCGCTCTATGTCATTGGAGGAGGCGATCTCGGTACTAAGGCTTCCGAAATGGATTCCACACTCGAACGGATATTTGATGTTGCGACGGCTTGGAAAGCCATCGTCTTGATCGATGAGGTGAGATGTTCGATCTCTCCCGAAGGACACAAAGACTAAAAACACTCTTTCAGGCTGATGTGTTCCTCGAGCAACGTTCCCTTCATGACTTGGAGCGCAATGCCATGGTCGCTGTATTGTACGTCTCCAGCATTTTTGCATACCCGATCTAAACAGCTGATTCCATTACATAGCCTCCGTCACGTCGAGTACTACCGCGGCATCCTCTTCCTGACCACCAACCGTGTCCAAGCTTTCGACGAAGCATTCCTTTCCCGCATCCACGTCGCACTTCACTTCTATGAGCTCAGCCAGGAGTCGAAGGAGCAGGTTTGGACCGCCTTCATCAAGAAGCTTCGTGTGTCGCATGTCGTCACGCCGGAGCAAATTAAGGAGCTCGCCACGCGCAATATCAACGGTCGCCAGATCAAGAATGCCGTGCGTACAGCACAGTCACTTGCTGTCGGGCGCGGGGAGACAATGGAGTATCATCATTTCGTGGAGACATTGGATGCTATTGATGAATTCACGAAAGAGTTTGAGGTGCTGAGGAAGAATTATCAGCAGTGAATTTTGGTCGCCTTGATTGTACCATGTATGTAGTGGTAGTCCTTTCTTTGTCTTTACCCCATGTCCACTCCTCATGTAACACTTAAAATCAATGATATTGTCGTCCATCTCGTTAAAATTATCGTCGCATCAAGTGATCACCTCAAATGGTGGGAGGGAGGGACAAATCAAGGTCGGCCACCCCGACCACGAGATGTGGGAACTTTGTTCCTTGGTCTGTATGTAGAGGTGGGACTGCAGTCGACTCGGGGACCCGGGGCATTGCGATAAGCACCGCGGCACGAATCTTCTGGAGTTCTACAGGCACCGGAATTTGATAAGTTCCGTCGATGAGTGGAGGGGAAGCGACGGGAGTCGTCACAGTAGGGAGTTCGGCGGGTGACCAGGTAGGGGAATTTGTACGCCTGAATATGCCCCGCATACGACCGGCGAGGGGGGGCTGCGCCATCGGTGTTGTAAATTTCGATGTCGCCGGCTCTTCTGCAGGAGGGAGAGCATACGTTACGGAGAACGGGCGAATCGAGTCCCAGTCATACTCCGTCGTCGTCTCCACCTTCCCAGTGTTCTGCGCATACTGCTGCGTCTGACCCACGAATGCTTCGTATAGCTTCGGCTTGTTTTTTAAATCGACTTTATTCTTGTCGTTGCCGAGCCCAAACAATCCAGATTCGTCGGGGGGTGACGGCCATGTCCCGTCGCGGATCGCCTCCTCAAACATCCGCCGGTAACGCCGTCGCACAAGTATAGGTCTGACCACCACGGTAAAACCGAGCCCCACAAGAATCACGAAGATTGCAACAAATAGAAACACTGTAGATTTCAAAAAGTTATTTAGAACCTGGCAAATCAAATCACGTGTGGCACAACGTACTGTATTCCTGTTTTGAAAGGGCGGGCTGAGAATCCGGGTTGGAGCTAGGTGAGGTGACTTCAGTAGATGAGGATGAGGGAAATGGGTCGGAGAACGGAGTAAAGGAGAATCCTGTAGATGTGGTGGTCGATGCCGAGGATGTGGAGTTCGATGTCATCGTTATAGAGGCTGTTGCAGAGGAAGATCTGCTGTGCGACCCGGTCGCTGACAAGGAGGTTGACATGGATGTGGTGTTCAAAGAGTAAGGTCGTAATCGTAATAGAGGGGGCGTTACTCCAGGCCGTAGACCGGCGAAAGAATTCTCTTTCAGCTTCGAGATCGATGAAAGAAGGATTGGCTGTAATCAGGATACCACTACCCTGTCACGTAGTAGATTGGGGGAGCTCCTGACCGCCCAAGCTGAGGTCGTCGTCGTACCTAGGTTGCGCGATCACCGTCCAAAGCTGCATCATCACGTGGGCCTCATTATCGCCCACCTGGAAGAAAACAAGGAGACGAAGCCAATTGGATGCCGACGTTGACCGGATGTACAACAGAGATGAACCTTGATCCACGAAGAGGGAAATTACCTTGAAATTACCTTGAAATTTACACTTCAAACGAACCCTTTCCCCCTGGTACGCCTGAAGATCAATACGGACTGAGTAAGTTTTATACAAGTTGTAAACTCAATCAAATAAATACTTCCCGGCAACAGCCTCGAGCGAAACAAGCAGGAAAATAAAATTGACAACCATGCGCGCGCACTGCATAAGAAGCATGATGCCAATGATAGGCTCATAGATGGCATAGACACTATAACATGACGACGATAGCAGACTGTATACCAAATCCACCCGTCTTTTAACCCATAGACCCTCAACGACTGACAACGGATACACGGCGACCGACATGCTTAGAGCTTGCCGATGGCAGCAGCAGTGATGCTCTGTCCGGCAGCCTTGGCACGCTTGCGGAGCATGGCGGTGGACTTGTTGCCACGGAGACCTCCACCCCACTGGCGGCGCTGCTCCTCGTACTTGTCAGAGCTAAAAGGAGGAAGAAGAGTCAGAGGGATGCCAATGGAAACGGGAGAAGAGGTAGACATACAAGTTGGCCTTGGCGGCAGAGACGAGGGTGGCGAGCTCGCGCTGGTCCTCAGACTTGACATCCTGGAGAGCGACGACGGCAGCGGTCTTCTTGTGGACGACTGTACCGAGACGGGCCTTGCCCTTGACGATCACGTAGGGGACACCCATCTTGCGGCAGAGAGCGGGGAGGAAGACGACGAGCTCGATGGGGTCGACATCGTGGGCGATGACGACGAGGGAAGCCTTCTTGGCCTCGACGAGGGCGACGATGTGGTTAAGACCGTACTTGACGAAGAGAGGCTTCTTGGAGTCCTAAATAAAAGATGATGATGAATAATGTGATAGGAAGAAATAACAAAACATGTGACGAACCTTGGCATCCTTGTTCTCGGCGGCAGCGGCGGCGGTAGCCTCAAGACGAGCCTTCTTCTCCTCCTTGGACTCGGGGCGGTACTTGTTGAGGAGCTTGAACAGCTGGGTGGCAGTGTTCTTGTCCAAGGTGTGCGAGAACTGAGCGATGGCAGGGGGAACCTTCAGGCGCTGGTGAAGGATAACCTTCTGGCGCTGAAGGCGGACGTATTCGGGCCACTTGACGAAACGAGTGAGATCAGTGGTGGGGCGAATGTCCTGGCCTATAAATTACATTCGTAAGATTACAAGTGCATTAAAACAAATTTAGTTTTGACTCACCGATACCGAAGTTCTTGGGGGCAGACTCGAAGAGAGGGTTCTTCTTGGCCTTGGTGGCCTTGCTGGCACCGAAGGGGGCAGCGGCGGGCTTCTTTCCAGTTCCGGTCTTGGCCTTGGGCTGGTCATTGAGGCGAAGTCAGCAATGGAACTAAAAAGTTGACATTGCGCCTCGGAGCTCTAGTGTCGTGCGCACTGAAGTGCAGCACGACCCAGCATCGAAGTCCTTCATCGCCCAGAGGCTCTGGACTAGTAAGAATAGAGACATAAAGTCAATATCTTGGATTTGCTGGGGCACATCTACAAAGTTCATTAGTTAATGCGATCCTCGAAGGTAATCCATATGAAAGACTTACCATCCATCTCATTTTGCTTCGTTTGGGAGATTTCGAAGTGCCGACAAGAGCTCGTCGTTGCGCAGACGTGGATTACTTACCATTTTGAAGTCGTTAGTCTTGAGGAAGTCGACGAAGAGGGTTATTGGGAAGAATAGAGGTTGACGGGTTTAAGGTTTCCCAATTGCAAGCTCGGGAATTGCCGATCACTTTTGATGATTGGCTCTGCCCACCGTAATGCGATTCTCTTCTTGCTCTGCTTCGTTTCCACTGATTTCCTCTCTACTTTACTGGCCGTGTCTTGCGTTGTTTCAGAAATATTTCAAGCGCCTGGACCGTCGATACACGGAAACCTTACAATGGCCAGGCGTCGGTTGTTTTCCATGGGGGCATAGCTCAGTTGGGAGAGCAGCAGACTGAAGACTGAGTCTTTCTGAAGGTCCCGCGTTCAATCCGCGGTGCCCCCATCGAGCAATACTTTTCTTTTTCGCCCCCACTCATGAAGTGTGAAACTAATTTTGCGCATTTACCTCGTCCTTCCCCATTCAAACTTATGAGTCGTTCCTGAGTATTATATCAGGACTCTGAATGGTGCCCCAGAATGCTCATTACACCTTCTGCTCCTGCAAACCACGACCAACTGCGAGAGCCGGCATTTCACCGTTATTTCAACACAGCTTCTCCTTAGTCAAATCTCGCGTCCATCTGTGCGCCACATCACCCGACGCCGGCAGCCCTACTTGAGCCTTCATTATGCAGCATGAATCAAAGCTACTGCTTATATCACTTTTTTGATTTATCCGAGCCCAAGGGTCCACCATCCGAGTCGACTTGAAGGTCGATGGACGCACGCCATGCGATGGCTTGTTTAGCCAAAATTGACCTGAACGGGAGTGAGTGCCACTGAGTGAGCTCAGTTTTAGAACGAGTACCAACTTCTGCTCAATCAGCATTCGTCCTTCTTTTTCTCATTTCGATATGGAGTGGGTTAATGTAGCCAATGCCAGTAATAGGAGACTCAAATCGATAGATTGACCTGTTTTCAATTTGTACTCGTTGTAACTACAGTAGTTATGGTCGCTCGTATCATAGTCACTCCTCTCCAACATCGAAAGAGATATAGGACTTCATTCGATCATAGGGCTTGCACACGGCATTCAAGTCCAAAGTCGATTGAAAAGGGTTAATACTTGACCGGTCTTCTTGGTTGCTCTTGAGTGGCGCAGCTCAGGATACCTGGGACGACCCAGATGCAACAAGGCACAGATACGTGGATCGCAGATAGTCAAACTACCTGCGATCCACGTAGCTTTCCCTTGTTGACTCGGACTCATTGTAACATCAACGATATTGAGTTCGAAATCAACACCCAGAACACGATACTACGTCTTACGTTGCATCACTGAGAGGTAGTCGACTACCTCGTCGACCTTTGGACGATCCAATGGGTTGGTGCTCCAGCAGGCGGTCGACAATGTCCAGATATAATCTGGAATCCGGGCATCCCGGGTCGGATGAACGCCCGCCACTATCCTCATCATAGCTTGAGTATTGCTCAGCTTCCAATGTGGGAAACTTCCAGTATAGATCTGCAGAATAATAAAAATGACGACTATAACTTACCACTGTCTAGCTTACCTCGTACAAGACCATTCCGAATGCAAAGATGTCGCTCTCGAAGGTCGGCCTCGCTGACTTTGTTCCTGGGTCGAGTCTTTCCGGAGCCATATAACGCAGAGTTCCGACGCCAGAACCTGAATGTATTGCTGTAATCCGAAGCAAGAGAAGACTTTGGAGTGTACATACCACCGACTAACAATCGAGCCTCAAGCTCATTGAACCGAGTTTCGTGGCTTTGAAGTCGCGCGAGACCAAAATCGGCTATGACAGGTACGTCTTCATCGTCAATCAAAATATTCATCTAGCCAAATTCAGTGCACGAACTCAGGGAAAATTATATAATTTACTGGTTTTATGTCGCCGTGGACGACGCCACAGAACTTGAGGTATTTGAGACCATCGGCGATTCCGATAGCCTACGGTTGTTGAAAGTTGAGCTCCAGTTGAGCTAAAAGCGTACAGAGAGAAGCTCACCAGACCCAGCCTGTCTGCCGCAGGAGATTTATGAAGAAACGACATCAAATCTCCATTCTGCATGTACGGTGTGACTGTGGCGAAATAGTTTGGGACGTCGATGACGCCGAGGAGAGGTATTACGTTTCGATGCATAAGAAACGACATGATGATAGCTTCCTTGATAAACATCTGCAAGGGCATTAGAAAAATTCTCGACCCTTTTGTTGACACAGCGCACTGTTCTCGAGTTATACGAATCCGAGTGAGAGAATTTCTTGACAGCAAGATTGGTTGATCCGCTACCACGTTGGTAGAAGACATTTCCTGAGGCTCCTGATCCTATTAAATACGCATCCTCGCCCAGTAAAATGCGGTGGTCCAATAGTAGTGCAGATGGCACTAATGACAGGTGTACCGCCAGATGGAGCACAACTGTGCGACAATTTTTTAGTAATTCATTCGTAGTATGAATTCGAGTAAGCTGTTGCAACATTTAGCCCGTTATACCGTTGAGCGGAAGCATCGCGCTAACCTCTATAAAACTGTAAAGGCGGTCCAATTTGAGACGTGCATTCAACTCTCCACGAACGAGGGAAGCATCGGGATTTGATACATAACCAGGCATGTTGAGGTGGGGGAAAGAGGGCAGGCGTGACACAGCGCAGACGAGGATGATAAGTAATAGCCGCGTTGCTTGACGACTGGTCTGTCCGACCTTCTCAAAGCGATCCGCAGAACGAAATAAAATAATGCCGTACTTACGTGTCATGAACGAATCGATTTTCCCCTTCAGGAGGAGCAGTCTGAGGAGGGTGTAATCCAAGTAATATAACAGCGTAAATGTATAGTCATCGAGTTATGGTATTTTCACCTGTGTGCATAAATTCCCAGCAAGCCTTCCCTGGCTCCACTCCAAGTAAATCTTGAACCTCAATAAGGCTCATTGCACACAGCTCACGAACCGTTCTTATTCTGTTCATGACGTGTTTGATGTTCTTCGCTGTTATCCCAGGGAGGCATCGAAGGAGCTCTTCAGCCGCAGCATTGATTCCTGCACCCGCATCTGGGTCATCATCCGCACCAATAGCAATTGCTTTGGTAGGATCGGGCTGCGGGTTGTTGGATTTGAGATCTCTGAAGATTTCCGCAGTCGCATAGGGTGACGATGACCAGATGATGCGTACGCGGGGAAAAGAAAGCGTCAAGAGGCAGATTTTTGACTGGAGCAAAGCTGTACGGTCCAGGTTCGCACATGTGCCCTGTTTCTTCTTTGTCGAATACTTTCCCGTTGGCTTTGCATACGATTTGATGTCCGTTACGACCTAATTTGGAAGAGTGTCATTAGAACGGGCATAATTAGTCCACAGAACGCTTACGTCGAGTGTAAAGGCTTTGTCTTCCTCGAATTCGATGAGGAGCACGGGTATTTTGTAATGCACCGACATTAACTCGCATTGTGTATAGCTGCGTGGTTCTATGAGGAGGACGTAGGGCATCAAGGAGAAAGCAACCCTCACAGACGACCACTATTAAAACTTGATATCAAGTCTGACAGGCTTTTGCGCTCCACGCATATCTCAGGAGTGATAATATAGTCGCCGACGGTAAGAGTCGCTGGTATAACCAGCATGTTTGACGCGTGCAGTAGCGATGGAAGGGTTGAACGAAATTCTCGCATATCAACAATGACCTGCGTAAGATAAGACGTCAAGAAGAAAGAACGCCACAGAATCCACCTACCTGCGAAGGCTGCGTGTCCAGTTCCCTTCGCCCTCCGGCAATCCGCGTACTTATAGTTTTGATGACGGCGTCACTCGCACCATCTCGGCGCTCCTCGAATAGGGGAAGTAACATGGACTGAGGAAAGATGCATCAGGGATGAATCCTTCAAGAAGACTAGCACACCTACGCCACGTTCTTTAATGAGTCTTTCGAAAGACTCCTTCTCCCTTCGTATACCGGCGAGGTATTTGTGCTCTTCGCACGAGTTACCATACACCATATGGTATACCCGCACTGCTAGCCCAGGATGGGAGCTTTTGTACACCTATACAATCGCAGGTCAGCTGGACGGTTTCAGGGGTACTTCATAGTTTACTTCAATGCGCCTAATAAACTCCATATTGGGTTCAAACATCACAATGAACTTGGGCTGAATTTCAGCCAACATCCGATCATCCGTGTCATCTGAGTAAGCTCGAACGATGACAGTTTCCTGGGGAGCAAGCAGGCCGTAGTGGGTGTCAAAATCGTCATCAAACGTTCCCGGCTCGGTATCGAGAAGAACCATGTCGTCGCCGAGCTCCGGAGCTATCTCCGAGCTCTGAGTGCCCTGAGATTCCCAGCTGGGAAAGACGTGAGTAGGGTCACATAGCAAGGGAACACAACTGACAACTGCGCAAATGCTTCTGCCTCGGTTCGTATTTCACCCATGGCCAAAGCAGCATTCTTAGACGCTGAGGCATCTCTCCCCGATGAAGCCGCAGCAGGTGCACCTCCTCTGACTCGTCTCCTACTCGCCGCACGGTCCGCCTTCTCCTTATCTTTCCTTTGCAGCGCCTCATTGACATTGTCCTGCTCGGTATAGAGCTTCTCAAGCCCGCTTGCACTTCGCACAGCAGCGTGAGGGTCCGAAGAATGGGATTTGCCGTCGTGTTTTCGCTCGGCTAGTTTCGACTTCCACCACAAGTAGAGCCTGAGCTTGCGGAGCATCATAGTTCGCCCCTTGGACCCGGGCGGCGCGTCATGGTCAATTATTGAAAGGAATTCGGTCAAGACAGAACAAGTGCGCGTCGAAGATGTCATAACGAGGACTGTGTTAGCCCCGGGATTCGCTGACGATAGAGCATTAGTTCAAGAAAAGTAGATGAGGCCAGCCCAAAGTACCAGTGATGGTTTTGCGCAGAGAATCTTGCCGCAACACTTCCTCCTCAGCTTCTTGGAGCACTTCTACCAGCAAGTTCCACTTTGGCAACTCCTCCAAAACTGGCTCCATCCCACGAGGAATCCATGACGGACGTGTCTCCTTCGAGTTAGGAACCGTGGTGCCCAAGGCTTCTATCTCATCTAGTGCAGCCCAGGCATCGTCATCGTCAGTGGCATCAACCACTCGCGGGAGTTGGGCCTTCGACGCAGCGCTAACTGTGTAACACCTGCGCTTGGCCACCTGAAATATGATGTGCGCTGCGTCCGTAAGAAGCCACGGGGATTGGTGTTGCTTAGTATGACCTGAGGCCGTTGTTGTATTCGATGCAATCAGCGTCTCCAGATATGCGTGGAAGTGGAGGGAATCGTAGGTCAGAAGGTAGCTGCAAAGGTCCAATGAGATGGTGTAAATGGAGGTTTATATGACGAACAAGAGAAGCCGTCTGAGCGTCCCAAGATCGTTGAC